TATTTAAAATCCAAAAATTCAAGGCAGTGCAAGAATTCTAGTTGCAATAGTGTAAAAAATAATTTTGTTAAGCTGAAGTCAGATCAAGCAAATGAGCATAAATGTACACGAATAAATTACAATTTGCTTCAATAAACGCAAATTGTACCGCCAATACGGTTCAAGAATAGATTAAATTTATTTGATAAGACTAACATAAATTAAATTAAATTTTGTAATTAAAATCTTCTCCCATGTAATTCTCTTTCCCTAAATTCCATGAATTAGAAAACGATGTTCTGTAATAAAATGTAACACTGCGAAACAGCCAATTGCCTGAATTGAGCACCTTCGCGTAGGCAGCAGCCGCTCGATGAAAACAACGGTGGTCTCGTTCGCTAGGATGAGCGCCACTGCGACTGATCTCGTCGGTCTCGTTCGCCGCGCTCGGCAAGTGACTCACTCCCGAGGTAGGATAAGAATGAACGCGAACAAATAACCTCGAGTTTCTCTCGTGCAACGCCGCGCCGCCGCCGCGCCGCGCCGATCACCGCGGTCGGTCGCGCGATCGCGCGTCCCCCGCGCGAGCGATGCGACCGCGTCGACCGATTGAGCACCGCTGCAGCGATCTAGTCGGAGTGACATCCTTGTCGCGAGCCGCAACTCTTGACGTCCGACACGTGTCTTTCGCGGCTTTGAATATACTTACGGACGAGTCACGAGCAAACGACAAAACGATTTCGTGCGGATCGCGCACGTTTAAGAATTTATTTCGTTTCTCGGGACACGTGTGTATAAAACCAAGTGCACAATGTTCTTTTCTGCAGCGTCACAAGGAGTATTAAGACAGAGATTTAATGATTGTCAAATGAAATATGATTATCTTTTTATAGCATCGTAAGAGATATTAAGACAAATTTAACGATTAGCAGAAACATCGTTCGTATTTAACACGAGAGTCGTGAGACGTTAATTAGGGCAACGTTGCTTAAATTATCTTCTGCTCACGTGACTGAAGTGACTCAAGTGTTATTTAAGTTTGATAAACTCCGAGTACGAATGTAAGAGCGTAAATATTACGTAGAATACATGCATAGCAATTCTCTTGTTATTCTCTAAATATCTAGTGTCTAACTTCGTGTTACACTGTGAATTGTTATTCAAACTTTGATAAAATCAATATGTTATTAATAATTCAGTGAGCGAAATTCTCGTAAAGTCGCAATATTGTGCAGATAAAAATTATATATAGATAGAAATCGTATTTCGTCCAGTTGTAAATGGTAATTATTTTACAATGAAATTTTAAATTATGCATGCTTTTTCTCTTCCCACGTGAAGAACGATATTACTTCGGAAAACCACTATTTTTGTATTTTTCTACAATATTATAAAAAAAAGAGTCTATCATCAATGACTATCACTTCAGAAATTAAAAAAGCGATATTGATTTAATAAAATCAAATAAAATGTCTTTTGAAAACTGTTGGTATTTTGAGGTTTGTTGCTCGCTCAAAAAACGTATAATTTTCTAATTCTTATTACGATATTATCGCAAAATCATGTTACTCGATCTGTTCTTAAAAGTGTCAACATCTCGATCTTTATATCGCATAAATCGTTCTCCGAGATCCGACGGACAAATCGAGAGCATCGAGCGGGAGTGCCGAAAGGAGGGGCCCGCGTTCAGGATCTGGTTCACCGGCGGTTAGCTTCTCGGCGGAAATCGCGATTCCCACAGCTTTCCCCCGCCGTTCGTGGTGGTGATGGCCCGCCGCGCTGTGCCGTTCACGCGCACCATTGTTCGCGGCGCGCCAACACTACGATTATGAATGAGCGGAACGCGGGGCACGCAGTTACACGCACCGCGACCTGGACACGTGCGCATACGCGAGGTAGCTTGGGCGAATCAGAAAGAGAGAGAGAGGGAGGGAGAAAAAGAGAGAGAAAGAGAGAGGACCGAGAAGGTGAGACCGCGCAAGTACACGCGATTATCGGCTATCCTGTTACATCGTGTCGAGTAGTGTTTCCTGTCGATTTTTCCCCCACCTCACGCGAGACCATCCCCACTGTTTTGCGTTTCGTGATAATGCGTTATCAATCGGATGATATCGCGAGAGCGGAGCACCAAGCCGCGTGACGTGGTTGCATGACTTTGTTCGTTGATGAAATAACATTGTATCGATTAATCACATCAGATATACCGGAATTAGACTTGAATTAGATTTGTAAAAATTACGATTACAGAGTCGACAACAAATAAAGAAAATAATTGCCTGCTGGTAATATGTGCATTCTGCTCGTGAATAAAGAAATTATTCTTTCTTATAGATTTAAAACGATAATATATATGCTATTTTTTGAAATCGCTAAAATATAACAAGGAGTGCGAAAAATTTGATAATGATTGGCGAGGTTATAAGAATGATAAACGAGGAAGCTGAAATACGAAGAGGAAATTGCTTTTATACAGCACTAGCAAAGCAATCGATGCGTCTAGTATTACAGAGGATGACCTCCTTTCATTAATGAAATCTCGTAAGGAACAATACACATCGAGACAAGGATGCGAAATCTCGCGAGCTATATGATGCACTTCGAACATCCGGCATCAAGCTAGGTTTTCATTGATAAACGTTCCCGCGCGATCCCTCCGCATTTCATACATCGCGGCGGGTCTCTCCTACGAGAGCGTGCGAGTTAATTATATCAACTTGGTAACAGTTTCGTATGACGCGAGTGTGTTACCTATCACCTTTATGGCCGACGGCGATTCGTAGGACGGGCGTGCTGCACACGTCACGTTATATACATGCAGCGCACCGATGACCCGACGTCATCCGCGCTCGTGGGGAAGTTGTTATCGTTCATCTTTGCGCCGCACGCGACATTTATAAAGCGCGTCCCCACGACGGTGACGCGTTTGCATTTACGTATTACTTAATATCACACGCCCCATACGTGTCGACAACGTAATAATTAACGGGCAACAAACGAAACAGAGCGCGTGTTTTGTCATATTCAAGTAGCCAGTTCTGCATTCAACAAATTATTTCAAGTGCAACCTTAAGGCAATCCCGGTTGTCGATGATCGATTCAGTGAACTGCAATGCGACATCAAAGATTAATGAATTCTATATATCGATTCGTACCATGTGAATTAATCATATCGCTCGTTTTTTTCTCAATTTCGCAATTCGATATAACATGCCAATCTTTAAGACATGTATTATTTTATCTCTAAGACATATTATTTTATACTAATAATGATGTTATGAAATTGTTATCTCCATCAATTTTCCTAGTGGACACTTTCTTGAAATTTTTCTTTTAATTAAAATATTAAAATTTTTTTCAATTTTTGCAAATAATCATAACAAAGTATATAATATATTTCCTAAAACATAAGTATTCCTATAAGTATAACTAATACCTATATAGGTATCGCAAGAATATGCGTCAATTTATTCCAGATCATTTAATAAAATTCGTAATTTAGTTTTATAATTCCATTTGTTTCGAGAGAATGAAATATTTGCGCAGGGTGCACGCGATATGCAAAGGTCTCGACGTAAACATTTTGCGCGGGACATTCGTAACAATGACGTTACGCGTAGCGAGGATCGTAAGAACGCCCCTGCATTGACGTAAAACCAAGGTTAACACAGGGACGTCTCGAATCGAACGCCTACGGGGAACTAGCACGGGCACGACCTACGACCTTAACGATCCACCTGTTCCATCTCGATTTTAACGCCGCGTTAAATTCATCGATTTAATTGACGAACGTAGTAGAAGCGCGATTAATTAGCGCGACCGAATAAAAAAAATTCTGTAGTCTCTTTTATTCGATTCCTAGCAAAATATAAACAAGCTTTCTTTAGCTTATGTGCTTGCATGATCAAATAGCAATCAACTCACTTTAAAGAAAGAGAGAGAGATACGATATTTTTTCTTCAAAAAAAATTATCCCGCGATTGCTTGGCACTAGCATAACACCGTTATAACGTCAAATATATTAATTTGATTAAATATCTCGGCGGATTATATCTTACGTTGTTGTTTAACATTCTGAATAAATTCTATTTTCTTGCTCCATTCTTAATCAATGACAACTACCTTCGGATACTTTGCCAATGCAACATTTTAAATTTGCAAATTCAATGAAAAAAAGTTCAAATTTCGATGAATCACTGATGTCTTTCTGATATTAATTAATGATAAAATAGCACTCTGAATTGTTTCTGAATTATGATCCAAGATGTCAAAAGATTGAATAACGATTAATAATAATAAATAATATTAAATGATAATATATCGTTATATTAATGTTAATGAACAACAATTCAAGCATTTACTTTAAAGATTAAACGACATCAATGGAACCTACATTAACTTTACGTGTTAGAAAATTAAAGTTTGTAGAAAATACCATGAAATACCATAAAAAAAAACTTTTCTACATAACTTTATGCAGCAGAACACCAGTGATGCAGCGTTATCACGTACGTTCGAATGTGACACGAGTCTTTCGGAAGAATAAAAAAACGTGAAGAATAATATTTCGCGCTCATTCTTGGAAATGTTTTGAAAACATATAGGGAGGGAGATTTTTCGCAGAAAAAAAAGCTCGAATTACCATCCAAATATTGTAACTTGCTGAATGTCAAGTCAAAGGACTCGTCGCAAAATTTCACGCGAGTACCTCGGAATTCTTTTCGGACGCAGGTAGGTGTATAGAATATATATCTGACACATTCGTTCGCGAAACGCGAGGAGCGTCATTCGCGCGTGCTTCCATCTCCTGCAGGACGAAGAGACCTTAGCGGGGAAGGAAGGAAAAAAGGAGAGACGCCGACTTTGTAACAAGTTCGAATTCCCACAGCGGCGTAGGCACACCTACGCATGCACGGCGCGACGAAACCGAGCAGAAGAAGAAGAAGAAGAAGAAGAAGAAGAAGAAGGCGGAGGAGTAAAAGACGAAGAAGATAGCAAGAGTGAAAGAGATTAAAAAGACTTACCATGTGAACGTTGGAGAGGCCGATCGGGTCGCTCTGCTTCTTGTCCGTCTTCTTGGCCTGCCGCTTCGCCTTGCTCTCGAGGAAGCGTTGCTTCAGCAGCATGGTGTCCTGTATGTTCTGCTCGCACAATCCGTTGAAGCTCTGATCGAACCTGGGGATGCAGTCATTCTGTCTGCGCCGGTAGTTCTGGATTCTACGTCGCAGGCGGTCCACGATCGCCTGCCTCTTCGGGGTGAGCACCTCACCCATGCCGGGTGCTTGACCCATTTGCTGTTGTTGCTGCTGCTGATGTTGTTGTTGCTGCTGCTGTTGATGCTGCTGTTGCTGCAGGTGCAGCTGTTGCTGGCTGGCTATGCCCAGCTGACCGGCGTTCAATTCGTGGATCGCGGCCGCGGATTGGCCGAGGACGTTGCCGGCGTGCCCGTTCGGGCCCTGGCCCGCGCACACGGAGATGGTGCCGGGGGCGACGCCGGGGGGGCCTTGCGGGGGCTGACGGGGCAGGAGCCCCCCGGCCTCCATACAGCCCCCTAAATCCACCGCAGGATAAGCCAGTTCTCAATGGTTGCCACCGTCGAGGTGGTCGATTATAACGCGCGATGCCGACCGCGCGGCCACGTCGTCGTCCTCTACCACCAGAGGCTTCACCGCTGTCTGCGTGACGCGCATCCTCCGCAACCACCCCACTGGCGTGCCGACGATCGTGCCTGACTTTCGGGCGCAGGGGAGCATCTGGCTTCGCGTGTGACGCTCTCGCGAGGCCCCCGGAGGCCGGCCGGGCTTGACCGCGGTCAAGATCGACGTATACCCGTCCGCCGAAGACTTCAGACACTCACGAGGACGATGCACTTGCTCCAAGTAAGTAAAACGCTCTTCCCTTGTCGTACGTAGGCACTCGAACTTGGCTCCAGCTGTTGTCTCGACAATTCAATTCGCGGCGTCTACGACGGATCGGCCGGAGTCGTATACGCTCCCGCGCGCGCGCGCGCGCATATACCGCGGAGCGCGCCAACTTCAGTTAACGTAACGCGATGCCACCGGCGCGCGCGGCATCGACGCGACGGACTCGTCAATGAACGCGTTCCGCCTTTTGTTTGCCGATCCACGTGACCGAGCGCGCGATAGTGCGCGCGTCGCACGGCCCGTTTTCTCTCTCTTTCTCTCTCTTCTCGCTCCTGATATTTCAAAACACCACACGGTTATGGGATGATCGCGATCTTCAATCGTTCATACGCTACTTGTTCACCGCGGTGCGTTCACAGTCACGTTCATATTTACGTTTATAGGCGCTTCACGTTCACGGTAAATCACAATTAATCCAGTCACACGAGGAGGTAGATTAGATTCAGGTATTCACTGGTGTGCGTCTGTCGATGTGAAAACGTCGCGAACTGTTGCTCCAGTCCCGATATACGCAGCACGCTGAGAGCGGAGCACTGAATATCGGCAGCCAACTCGGGTCACGGGGTTCGCCGACTGTCACTCTCGGCAACGCGCGCAACGGAAGATTCGACGACGGTGGGACGGAAGGTTCGCCGCGCGCGACTAACTTCACGATAAGAGCCCGCTCGAGTCCTTTCTCTCGCGCGTGCCTTCTCTCTTCATCTTAGGGACGCGTGCTGTCCTCCTCGCTCTCTCTTTCTCTCTCTCTCTCTCTCTTTCTCTCACTCCGCCTCTCGCTTCCACGCGTTGCTCTCGCCGTGCCGTGGCGGTGCTCTCTGGGGCCGCCGACGCCGGTAGAGGGGAGAACAGAGCCGCGACACACAAGACTTTCGCGGTTTCACAATCCGGGGTACCCTCCTTCGCCCACCACGGTGGTCGCGTAGCGTCCGCGGCGCGCGGCGCGAATCGTCCCCTGGGCGAAAATTTCCCCCAAGACCAAGCTGAGGGGGGAGTCCCGCGCGCGTACACTTAGGTATATCGTCTCGCACACAACGATATCGATCCCCGTTTAAACGCCGAATGATCGTCGTCAGGTCGGAGGGAGGAACACACTGAGTAAACGCCGACACTACGCTGGGTATTTACGGCGGATTTGCCCGGTGCGTCGAGAGCGCGCTGGACGTCACAACAGGTAGTTGAGCGAGGGCAGCGTGCTGCCGCTTGTCTGGAGAAAGAGAAGAAAAGAGAGCGGGTGGTGGGAGCGAGAGGTCGTCAAACGGCACCGGCGCGCGGAAGGGAGACGGCCGCAGCACGCCGGACAGAAACGAGACGGGAACACACGCGAGCGGCGACGCCGGCGGGGCGTTGGGGGGAAGGGGGGGAACGAAGGCGTGCGCGCGAGCCAAGGAGAGAGGACGGCGACGGGACGGAGAAGGAGCGAGAGGGACTCTGCGCGCGGCGAGAGAGAGACGGTAGCCAGGGTGGGAGAAAGGGAAGAGTGGTTTCAACGCTCGGCACGAGTTCCTCTTGCGCGCACTCGCCGCGAGTCTCGAGTCCTCTACCACTCGCGCCCGCGCCCGCGCGCGCGCGCGCGAGAGAGAGCAAACGAATTTGCACGCACCTTTCTGTCTCTTTCTCTCTTCCTCTCGGAAGGGATCCTCTATGATCTTCTTCTTTTCCGCACGTCACCGCACTCCATCGTCCAGTCTTTCCTCTCGCACTCGTCAATCTCGCGTTCGCGTCACTATCTCGCGATCGCGATCGCTCCGCTTCTCGACGTTTCGGAGCGAGGGACGCCGCGAACGCGCACGCCCGCGGGAAACGCTCCGCAATTCATCGGTATATATAAATGTGTGTGTGTGTGTGTGTGTGTGTGTGTGTGAGAGTCGCTTCTTTTCGCGCTGAAACGGTTTTTCAAACGCGTCGGGCGTCGCGGCGAATCCCCGTGCGCAACTCGACGCGCAACGCGATCTCGCGTCGGCGAGACTGCTCCGATCCGGACTGGCTCTCTGGACCACGCGCGGATGTTCCGTTCACTGCGCCGACACCCCGGGGCTACGATCCGACTCGACCACACGACCGCCGCGCGATGAATCACATGCCATCATCGCGAGCCGCGCGCGCTACGATCATATCAAACAATTGCATAACCTCACTTTCCTTCGTCTCGCGCATACATGTGTGTCGCGCGTGCGCGCGCGCGCACGCACTCTCGCGTCGCCCGTCCGCTCTGGGTCTGCTCGCCTCACGCGCGGTCGCGGCGTCGCGGGCGAATCGCGCGAGACGGATTCTTCTTAACCTTTCTCTCGCTTTCTCTCCCTCTCTCTCTCTCTCTGTCACGCGAATGCTCACGCGCGCGCGATTGCACGCCGGCGACGAGACGCGTAAGGGCGCGTAACAGGCTTCCGCGCTTCGGAATCGCTCCTAGCGCGAGCGCGCGGTGCCATTAACAGAACTGCGCGTAGGGCAGAACGGGAGGAACATGCATCCCGTTCAAACGGCGAACCGTAATTACTGCCGCCGCGACGCGGCCGCGCTCCGGCGGCGACGCGAGTAACCGTCGTGCGGCGTCGGCCGACGATCGGTTTCGCCCGACGGTTGCCCCGCCATCGTCCGGCGGACGTGCGTACTGCGAGCGACGATCGCGGGTATGGTGAGGTTAGAGGTATGGTCTCGAGGGACGAGGACGCTTTCGAGCGTGTCTGAATACTTCGATGCTCTCTTGCGGAGTACACGTGTCGCGTCGTGAGAAAACGGTCGCGGGCCTTTTCAGTGTTCACCCTAGTAATTGTTTTTCGCAGTTTCGCTACTTGTGACTTTCGAACGTGACACCAACGATACGAGCCGGCACGAGGAGTACGAGGTTATGTTGCGTTTCGAACGTTCGTCTTTACTACGGGCGTACCGCGTACGTATACAATCGTTCCGTTGTGTGGAAATATCGATTCCGAAAGTGTCAAGAGATACGTAGTACCTTGATTGATCAAGCAGAGTTTTCATAACCTAACCCCTGTCGGGATCCTGTGCACGTGGCTTGTACATACGGTAAGTTCAACTTCATTCCGGCGTCACGATGATTTCCCGTAACTTGAAGGCTAAGTTTCGTTCTTACAAATGTTTAAAACAACATGCTGTAGAAAAATTCCGGCAAATCCTCTCATAAGCATAATCGTTAGAGTGCACAGTTTGGAAGTTTGCATTGTTTCGAAACATTCCGATTTAACTCGAAGGCCGGAGCAATGTTTTGTGTAGCAACTTGGTGAATAAGATTTGAGACAAAGAGCACAATCTATTTGTATCTCGTATTGTCAGAACCGTAGTGAGTAGATGCGAAATTAAATGAATATTCTACAGTTTAAAAAAATTGAGCAAGTTTGCTAGTGTGTTATCATACATAAAGTGTTGACATGTTGTGTTACGTTTATCAGTAAGTTCTCACATAAAATGTATCATTGATAATCGGTTTTATTTTGGCACTTGTATATTTATTTATTTTGGACACGTGCCTAATGAAATAGAAACGAATTTTATATTTTAATATGGAAAATAAAGCACATATAATCAGCAGTATATTTTAAATACGTGATTCCATGTACATACAGTTTCAGATAGCAATACGTTTCAATAATTTTTACAAATTATGTTTCAGATAATATCTAACGGATGGCTTCGGACGCAAAAGCGAAGGTTTCGAGTGGGGCGAAACTTAAAACTAGACTGCCGGTAATACCAGGCACGAGACCTTCGCTACGAAATTCACAGTTGCTTATTTCAACAGGGATACCTTCCTTAGACAGTACGATAGGCGGAGGTTTACCTATTGGCTCGATATTTTTAATCGGTACGTTTGTATAATTATGTTTCTTTAACTTTGCTGACGAGATGGCTGGGCTCATTTGATGAGTATCTGCATTTAGTTTTCGAAGATAACTCATATACATCCCTTTTGCGTCGCATGATATAGAAAATCTAAAACTCGATTGCTGCTGCTTTTTACTGTTGTTTTATGTATTATATTTATACCTGGAACGACTTTTGATTATCCAATAGAGTACAAATCAAGAATGACCCCAGCCATAGTCTTCTGCAAAGGAGACACATTTTCTTTCAAAGGGTTTAATAATATTTAAGAGAATTGTGTAAGCATATGTGCATAGATGTATATTTAATGAAACATTTGTTTCCAGAGGAGGACAAGTATGGCTTCTACGCTAAAATTGTATTGAAATATTTTATGGCAGAAGGGATAGTCGTGTCTCAGCCTGTATTGATTGCGTCTCAAGATGTTCAGCCTTCCCAATTTGTATCGGGGCTGCCTGCAGTTATAAACGACTCAGAGGAACGTGTGAAAACTACAAATACTGTAGATGAACCTATGAAAATAGCTTGGCGATATCAGAATATGAAAATAGTAGATTCAACCCCGACGGGAGGACAGACATTCGGTCATTATTACGATCTCACGAAACTGATGCAGAAGGATCTTCTGGAGCATGCTGACATAAAACAATGGCAAATTAATGAGGAAACGACACTGAATGAGAGCAGTAAATTTGAGAACGCTGCATACGTTGACTTATTATGCACCATAGAAAGAACGTTGCGCGACGGACAATATTTCCTCTCTGAAGCACCGGAACAGAAGACAAAGATTTTAAGAATCGCGATTCATTCTCTGGGATCAAGATTATGGCTTGGTGACACGGAGAAAGGTTCTAATCGTGATCTATTGAAATTCTTATACTGCTTCAGAGCGCTCTTAAGGAATTCCTATGCGGTCGGCGTAGTAACAATACCAGTTAATAATTTCGACAATACCGTAAGTCGAGTAATATTGAGAACTTATAATCCCTTTATAACGATCAGTCTTACAGCCTACTTACCAATCTTGCTTTTTCTAGGATTGCGTTATCGAAAGAATTCAGCATTTGTCGGATATAGCAGTCGGATTAGAATCGTTTGCGGGATCTGCAAAGGAGCTTAATCCGTTGTTCAAGGACTATCATGGTCTTTTGCACATTAAGAAATTGTGTGCACTGAACGGTTTATCACACGGCATTACGCAATACAAAGATCTGGCATTTAAATTACGCCGTAAAAAGTTTCTTATAGAGGTTAGTGGACTTTGATGTTTTGCTTCTTTTCAAACTGTGTTGTTGTAAAGCTTAAATATGATTATTTGTTTGTTCCTAGGTTTTACATTTACCGCCCGAGTTCGATGATACCTCACAACGAGAGCAAGATGAGACAGTAACGTCCGGCATTGGATGCGCGAGTGGATCTCATAAAAGTGCACTTGATTTTTAGATTCATGAATTCTGTACAAAAATCATATGTGATAATTTTAATGTATATTGTATAGTTCTTTTTAACAAAATTAAATGTTTATTTTGTTAAAATAATTTTCAATCAATTATTATATGTATATTCTCATACTCTTCATATATTTGTCTTAGCCTTCATAAGATGTTATTCTTAATTCATAATTCGTTACATCAAAGTGTATATTTGTGAGTCCACTCCTTAACAAGCAAGTGGTAAGCCAGAATTTTTACGTACGCTTAGGTCACGCCTATCCCGTTTAACGGGAAGTGCATGGTGTGGCGGCTGAATTAATGTAGAGAAGAGGAGATAGGCTTCGTGAACACTTACAATAATGCGCATAAAGTATCTTTTTGCTGTATTACGTTGTATATATGGGTTCAACCTACAAGTTCATTTACACCGTAGGAATACAATTTTCGATGGGAGATTTCTATAACGAGTACGAAATCTTCAGAATAATCCTTTACTATATACAGTATAATTAATCTATGGAAGAAAAATGAAGCTTTCATTACAGTATTGTAACATTTCTTGATAAATTAAAAATACTTCTGCATAATTATAAAACAATTGCGCGTTTAATAAAATTCAGGTTTACATTATAAATAATCGATATCACGAAGGAGTTATGTGCCGCAAAAATTTAATAATTTTTTAATATGCGTAACCATTAAAATGCTGCTTCTTTTATAAATTTTATAATTAAAACTTTTATAATATCAGAAAAATATTTTGTTATACTCTTATCACTTTTTAGTTTCGCATACAAAACATACTGTTTTAAAATGGCTGATACAACCTCCAGTTTTTTTTTTGCAATTTTCCCAAAACTTCTCGAGATATCGCGTTGTTATCTTTGCCTCAAAGCAATTTAGCGAGAGACTTTATTGTAAAAGGGATGTGTTTACAAAAAAACTTGCAATACTGAAAGTAACACATTCAGACGTATATTATATATTAAAATAAAAATTTGAATAAAAGAATATTACACAACATAATATTAATATTTCATCGAAATATTAAATAATTTATGAATGTATCCTCCAAATAATAACGGAAATGTTAAATAATTTACGAATTTATCCTCCGAAATATACGGAATGACCATCGACCATTAAAAGTTCCCCTTGCCATTTGGTGAACCTTCGCCGACTCGAATCGTACTCGTACACGAACCGATCGGCGGTGCAAATATCCGTGTATGTGTGTATACATTTTTCATTCCCCCTCCGGTCTTTTTCCATCCACACCTTCCTACTTCCTTCCGGTTCCGTCCGGTCGGTCGCGCATGAGGGCACGCAAGCGCGTCTACAGACCCCCGAGTCGCTGTTGTGAAGTCCATCCACCGCGCACGGGGGGTTTTCAGTCCGTGAACATACGCGATCGGGTTCACCTCGAATACCGAGCGATAATACACGGTGTAACCTAAGCCGTCAAATGATTTAAATTTTTTAATTGTGCACGTCGAACTGTTATGTGCGCCGAGTGCGATCGTCGAAATTTCATGTGACCGAAAAAGTCACCTGCTAATTGTTCATTAAGAAGCGAGCTCTTCGGGCGTAACGATGGGAACTAGAAGATTAGCCATATCGCGCGCTTTTGTTTGTTGCTCAAATATAATTTTCTTGGTGAGTTATCGGCTATTTTTTTTATTTTAGATGCAGTTTTAATTTAAATCTGTTTCAGTCAATCTTAATAGAGATATTTATGAACGCACGTATAAATACATATCGTTCATTTGTTACAATTACTAGAAAAAAAGAAGTTTTTTAGAAAATAAGTTTGAATATTTTGAAAATTCAAATTTGTATTTAATTTTTAAATGCAATTTTGGTATAGGTAATAACTGATTATAAGGGAATAAAAATATATTCTTTTAAAGTATGTCCCTTCTTTTTTTCTTTACATTTCTATTTATTATGCAAGCAACTCAAAAATTTGTCACTTTGGAATTGTGTCGATATTAATAATTAAGCTATATATGTGAAATACTATATGTTGAATATAATATAATACTAGTATAATACGGACTGAATCGATGTCGTCTCGCTTTAATGATTATTGTAAGCTGTTTAGCAAATCGATGAAACTTGTGTGGAAGATTATTATTTCTCTCTCCCTTTTAGATGTCAGGCTTTGTGTTAATGTCCTTGGGAGGATTATTATTAGCCGACAATGAACGGATTTTATTATCGCGCCTCCTAGGACCTGGTGACATTCACCCCGATCAACCGCTCTTTTATTATTTGGCTTTCGCTATAGTTGCATTAGGATTTCTCATCGCCGTCAGTGGACTCCTCGGATGCTGGGCGGCTTGTCTCTTTAATCGCTGCATCACAATTTCTGTAAGATCTATTTTTAAATAGTTTAAATATTTTAATAAATCCAATATATTTATACATTTTAAATATTGTAAGTACAGTTCACAGTTGTGCTTAATAATTTTTAAAATAATCTTTGAGAACAATGCGTTATTATTATTTTCGTATTATATATTGACATTTAATAAAAATAAAATGTATACAAAATTTATATCCAAAACTTTATAAAAAAATTTATATGTAACTTTTTATCACATTTTCTTTTTGTAGCGATAAATATAATAGCATGTTAAGTAATAAAATATGCAGAATAGCTTCCCTTATAAAAATCTAATTTAATAATGGAAATTAATTATTTTGAGTATCGAAAGCATTATTATTCTGTACTTTTAATGCTCAAAATAAGTAATAAAATATGTATACAAAAAATAGTTTCTCTTATAGAAATTCATTTTAATATTGGAAATTATTATTGTTCAGTGCTTTTAATATTCGAAATAAATAATGGAATATACAGAAAAACTGAATTAAATACTGGAATTTAATACTTATAGAAATTTAATACTTTATTAAAATCTACTGAAAGATAGTGATTAATTACTTATTTGGAGTGTTAAAAGCACTGAACATATTTTTTAATATTAAATTTTTATAAGTATTAAATTCCAGTATTTAATTTTTCCAATATTAAATTTTTTATTTAGCCTAACTGAACAACAATGCTTTTAATACTTAAAATAAGTAATTTTCAGTATTTCCAATATAATTAAAAGCACTATTGTTCAGTACTTTTTAATACTCCAAATAAGTAATTAATCACTATTTTTAGTATTAAATTTTTTATATGGGTTACATGTACCATGATGTCTTTCTTCGCGCATTTGAGTGGGAAAGAATTGCTTGTTTAAGTTAAAGTCTTTGTTTATTCACGTATCGCGAGTACATGTGTTTGAATGCGTCACAATCAGTTGTGCTTCATGCGCGGCATTCTCTCGGGAATCTACTACGATGTTGCTCGTCAAGCCTATCTGAAACACCAGATTTCCTACTTCGGGCTCGGTCATGCATCGTTGCCCGGAAACGGATCTGCTTGTATGCAGACACGCGCGTAAATAAAAGGAGGGCGCGTTCGAGCACTGCGTAAAAACACTAATTATCCGCTCGTAGCTCGGACGAACGAGAGTCAGCTCGTCGAGGAAATGAATGCCACCATTTTTTTCATTTTTAACACTACTTAAACATCAGTTGCAAAACATAACAAAGTGGATTAACGAATTGGATATGTATTAGATTGATCAGGAAGTCTTTTTTGTATTTAAATTCATAGATGCGAAAAAACTTTCTGACCTAATACAAAAAAAATATATTAGTATTATTATAAGCTAATATTAAATTACTAATATTAAAATTAAACGAATAGAGGTTGCAAGAAATATTGTTTGAAATAAGTACGTATACTCGTATGTTGGAAAATTACGAATTCAAGTGGCTTGGAATCGATCTTCTGTTTTTATGCTTTCCAGTATCTCTTAACAATAATATTGTTGCTCTTCGGAGAATGTACCGTGTGCTGCATTGCTGTTTTTTGGCCTCATATACTGGGGATCGACGTAAGACCGGCACGTCTGATACGCGCTTTGCAACGCAGTTATGCAGTACCTGGGCGCGAGCAATTCACGGCTGCCCTCGATCTTGCACAAACAACAGTAAGTTCATATATCCTCTATCAAATTTAAAAGTAGATAAAGATGTAATGTTTTTTGACATATTTTTCTATTGTTATATTATTTAAATATTTACTAGCATTATAATTTTTTAATAAGTAAAATTAAAGTCATTTTATTATTATGTCATACTGTGTTTCATGCAAAAAGAGTTCTTGTTTTTCGTTTTTATAAAGATTAAAAAGTATATGAAAGTGAGAAAAAAGAGATTTCTTATTGCAAACATTTGTTACTTTGACAACATATATATTTATTTTATATATTGAAACCAAAAGAGAAAATACACGCGTCGTTGTTGTGACCACTTACAGTTTGCCTGTTGCGGCATAAACGGAAGCAGCAATTACGGCACGTCGTGGTGGCGGCTGCAGGAAGTCGGCCGCAGAGAATTAGTGGTACCTCTCAGTTGCTGCACCCTGAATAACGCCAATGAGACGGGCTCCTTCCTCAACCCCGTGCCTGCCAATCTTACTCTCTGCCAGGCTCTGAACCCTGCCGAACATCAATACGCCCGACACACTGCGGTATGCGCGATAATGAGGAAGTTATTACCCCCTTGTGCCGCATGCCGTCCCGGACGGCGTGCGAGACAAACTTTCCGAATCGGTTCGCATTAAGGACAAATAAGGGCGCGGAGGTCTATATACGTACGGAAACAAATACGTCTTTATACGTGGAATATCGACACGTTATTGAAGCGTGATATTTGCACGAAGCTTTTGTTCCCGCTTCGTGAGAATGGAAATCTGTTTAAAAGTTTATTACAATCCGGAGCATCCCCCTTGCGCGAACGTTGCGAAATGATATACTTGAGGAAAACGCAAACTCCAGTACCTACCATTCCGAAACTTATCGATTTGCCTCTACGACCGCGGTATTCGGCGCTCTGATTTTTCGCGCTTTGTCCAAAAGTTTGCGATAAAACCGGTATGATCTCGTATACGAATACTAGGAGAGTCGTGTCGATTAATGGCTTTTGTCTCTCGATGAAGACCCCCATAACAAAGCTGTGAAAAATTTTATCAGCATGCGGGTAATGATGTTACGTTGTTATGGTCATATTTTCAAAACAATATCTTGCTGAGCATTAACACATTACTAACCGAACGTTTTATGCAGAAACTAATGCCTATACCGTTATTTTTTATACAAGTCTACATTGAAATACGCATGTGAGTAAATATTAATAATTTTTTGGCACATAATATAGTTTTGCAACTTCTTGTGCCTATACCTCATTTAAGTAGGCTAATATTTTTTATTTTTTAAAGATAGCATTAGTTTTTGTACAGATAAACGTACAACTATTACAAATACAGGAAATACGTGGTACAATCGGAAAGAGGGTAATTCTGCGGCTGAAAATAAGTCAAAATAATAGAATAAATTTTTTAAAGAAAGTCTCGTTTTCGAGAAAAAGAAGATAGTTATTAGTCTCGACAATATAGGATGCAATCCACATGGTTTGAACAGAAAATTACCGAAAATCGGAACCGGTAGAGAAAGTGTTAAGCTCTGATAACTTCGCACGATGATTAAAATTGTTATGCCTTTCTAAACACGAGTGAATTCGTCATCAGTTAATAACGTTCGAGCAACAAAAGACGAACTGATGCGTTTTCGATTATTAATGTTTTAATATAAATCGTTATGCATATAACTTGTTTGTTTTACTTATTCAGGGTTGCCTTGAATATATCGAAAAGTGGACGCAGGATCAGGCCCTGATCTTGCTGGCCATCGTATTAGTCGTCATGTTCGTCGAAGTCACGGCGCTCCTCAGTATACTTCTCGCTTGTTCCCGTGAAACCAGGAGAAGCAAATCGCAGGCGTCGACTTTCACCTCCACGCAGACTTTAAGCCCATTCACCGAGAGTGATCACGACTTTAGTAAGAAATTTTTTTCAAGTTACAATTTTAGATTGCACAATTTCAAAAATATCAAAAATATTCAAATGTGGCATATATTTGCAACGTTCATTTTGAAGTAAAATTTAAGATAAATTCGGGATCTATGCAGATTATTTAACTTACTTAAAAACTGAAAAGATGGGGAAACGGCTATGTGGCATTAGACATTGAAATATAGAGCTTATTGACAAAAGGGCTAATGTCAATATGGTTAGAGTACATTTCGATAGAGTATATTTAGATTCTTCAATTACAAGATAATTTTAAGTAAAATAAGTAACAAAAAACTGTTCTTTTTAATGACCAGGCGATGCCGTTTCTAGAGGATTGAGGATGTTATGTGTCATATTTCAAAGCGTTACCAAAAATATAAAAATTTCATAGATTTTTTTCATTATTATGTCTGAGTCTGTGAATAAAATTTGAGTATAATTCTAATTTCCTTTTTGGTTTAAAATATTTAATTTTTTGCTTACATTGATTCTTATGTAAAATTGCATTTTGTAGTACTTATTTACAAATTTGATAAGAAAGTAGCATTTCGAATTATATCAAATTTTTTACATATATTAATAAAACTTCAATACAAATTTGTATAAAGTTCATTTAGATCCACTTACTCGTTTAAAAGTTGTTTACCTAAAACTATATAGTACAATGATTAATACACTGTATAGTCATTATAACTTGTTTTGCTGTTTGTAATTGGTTTCAGAGTGTATTTAAGATCAAAATTTTTCGTAAAATTACAGTTTTTTGCAATTTTTATCGTTTTTTTTTTTAGTTGGTATTGTCTCAAACATTCTTAGCTTTACGTCGAGAGGAGAATGGAAATATTCTTAATTCTCAAACTTTAATATTCTCGAAACTATAAACTTTTATCTTATTGTGATTCAATTTGTTTATAGGTATAGGCATCGAGAACAGGATGCATACGGCCGGAACGACGTTCGGTGCCAAATCATGAAGATGGCTGGAGGGCAGCGAAGGACGGACAGCAGTCGACGTCGAGAATATGAATAAACGAGAAACGTGTGACGATACTAAATATAACGTGTTAGCGACGAGCGGAAAGAGCATAATCGAGGAATGGCGAAATCCTCCGAAATACTCCGAAGATTTGCTGCGAAGCGATCAAGTGTACGAGGAACGAGCGGTCGACGTTGTAATCGACAACCGTCCATCGGATTTTCCTAAGAGGCACCCGCAGGACGGTGACACGAGTAAAAATAACAACGACGACAAATTGATTAAGATTAAACGGCCGCAAGGTGGTGGCACAGTAAGAAGCATCCCCATTAAAGATTATCAGGCGTCGATCGCGCACAACATCGGTACTCTGAGACGATCCGTGGCACCCCAATCGCAATTCGAGTCTTTGGTCTCCGAACCGGAGAAGAGCGTTTACATGCCGTTAAGGAAAAGAGTTCCTATAATTAGCAGCTTGCATCATCGGTCCGCGTCGCAGACCACTTGCGTCGCCGCGCAAACCGCGGAGACCCCTCGGAAGAAATCTTGCTGCTTTTGCGACAGTCAGCACGATCCGCGCGGCTTCTATTGCGCCAACGCAAACTCGAGCAAGCACGTTGAGGACGTTCGTTACTTTAACAAGACGGAGGACCGACGATCGCAGGACGGTTCCGACATAGACGAGTATTTCCGCAGGAGCTCACGCGGGAGATTCAGCTCGCCCGATCACCGGATTTCGAGACGCGCGCGCGAGTCTTCGGGTAACATGGGAACGGCGACCGGTACGAGGAACGAGAGGGCGAAAGCGGAAGCGGAAGCGGAGGCCTTGCAGTTAGCGGAAGGTCACGTCGGTCAGAAGATATCGGCCTACGAGCAGAACGCTCAACGTAGCTTGCGCGGTCCCAGTCCCAGGTATCGATCGCTGTTCGAGATAAAGGGACATCGTACCATCGGTGTACCGCTGGTGGGTATGCACAACGCTTGCGGCTTACCTGTCGTGGCTTCCTGGCGCGATCACGAGTTGCTGAATTCCCTGCGGATCAGCCGCAGACTCGCGGGAGCGGCGGGACCCATTTACAGGTGTCCTCGCACGATCCCGAACGCGCGACGTCGGACGCAACCGAAACGGAAGGCGCCGCAACCGGATCGCGGAACGATTCATCCGAGGGACATCGATCGTGGCGTTAAAAGATCAACGGTCAAGTCGACGGGGTATTTGGACGCTATTAACGGCAGCGGTAGGTCCAGGAGGAAGCATCGTCGCTCGTCGTTTACCATGACGAAGGTGGGATCGCTGTCCTCGAAGAATTCCTTTAAGAGGATGCCTAGGAGATATGGGATTAAAACGAGTTCGCTGGTGGATACCTTTGGTAGGAAGTCGATTAAAGGAGGAAGCGCGAAACGGACGACCCTATACGCGAAGGACGACGGGCAGGAGCCGGTGCAGGTTCTCAAGAGCTTGTGCTTGAATCCTCTGGCGCGCGCCAATCCAGAAACGGACATGATGTGGTGACGTTCGTGAAGAAATTAACGTATCTGCTTGTCTACTCTTTATTAATGTGTTTATATTCCCATACAGAAACTTGCGGCAACATTGTTGCAACGTTATAATATTGCTACAATATTGCTACAATATTGCTGGAAAATTTCAATGTTGCTGCAATGATCTGTGCTGTATGGGTTTAATTATTATATTATAAAATGATTTAAGAAAAACACAGTTAAGTACCAATTATGCAAGCGTTAAAGATCGTTTGCTTATAAGCTATTTAATTTCAAATTAGATACAGAAAGAATAGCAAAATATAAAACGAGCTTTTTCTTCATTGGTATTTCTATCAATTTTCTCTTCTATGCTTCCACTTCTCTCGTACATTGGTCACGAATGAATTAATTACACCGTGTGACTTGTGTAAATATGTATCTAATATATTAGTGGATTTTATGTTTGAAGTTTTATAATAAAGGAAATCCTTTGCTGTCCTCATTAAGATAACATCGTTTTATCATACATTATTAATTATAATATTGTACTTATATTTGTTATTCTTTACAATTCTTGTTATGATTCATACTACTAAAGTTAAGTATGTTGTTACTGCAGTAACGACCTGAAATACAATAATTATTTATTTCTTCATATAAATGAGAATAAACTAATCTTACCGGAAGAATTATCGTTAAATCAAGTGGAAAGAATTCCGCAGCCGTGAAAGAATATCTCCTATGATAAAAATATAACATCATCTCAATTTTGTCCTGAAATCAATTACTTTTGTTAAATTGTTATTTACAATTTGGCTGAGAAAAAAATTTAAAACTTACCATGCGGCATTTTTCATTTGAAAAGTGTAAGCCATATTTTATTACGCGCTCTTCAACGCGATTTGCCTGAAATGACAGTAATAAAACATACTATTACGAGAGTCGATAATTTAAATTCGTTTAATCTATTTTTTTTTAAATCTAATAATCAATCATTTAAACATGGAAAATGCCTTCGAATAATTTCTAATAGTACAAATTATACTATGGGACACAATTTTGCATCACGAGTGTTAATAATTATTTCCGACGTATTTTTGCCTGCTGAACACAAATCCATTGGCAAAAATTAGTTATCACGCTACAATTTTGAAACCTTAAAGAAGCAAAAAAAAACGATGATTTTAAAGATTTTCATTACAGTATCGGCAGCTAATTTTTCTTGCTTAATTTCATTAATGCCACATCCAAGCAGCAACTTTTAGCTTTAAAATGCATTGCAGTTCATTACGATATGATTTCTTGTTTCTGAGATGTAACAATTTGAATACAGTTCTTTTTCTCATGTAACTATTCTGTTCTACAAAATTCAATTTTTTCTTTTATCACAAATGTTATAATAAATAGTTATTTTTTACTGCAGAACACAAATCTGTTGACTATCACGTCACAATTTTAAGAAAAATGTACGAAAATATTGGAAATGACTATTCACACTCGTGATGCAAAAAAAAAAAGATCAAATTTTGTCCCACAGTGTTGTTATGCGCAATGTTGGTTATAAGTTGGCCCTTTAACATTGACTTGCACTTGTAAAATAGACGCTTTATGTCATATATTGGCATTTGCATTTAATTTATAGCAAATATTAAATCAATTTTATATTGGGCGACATTGACTCAACATATTCCCAATATAATTCCCACCCCAATATAATCAAAGTTCAGTTAATATATCGCTAATAAATAATGCTACTAAAAATATTATAGTAAAATTCTCGATTTTTACCTCATAAGTCGTAAAGTGATACATTGCGATCAAGTAAATGGTTTGAAACGACAAATCCATCATCTGCACGGGCCCGTCGTCCTGTAACTCCTTTAAGGACAGATATATAACCGAAACAATCTCCAGCAGTATAGACATGAAGGTAATTAAAGTGCCGAACCCATATAATGCGTTTATCACATTGGCGCAATCGAGAAGCACGCCGTGCAAATACCGCACGTCATAAACTGTGATTTCGCCCTGCGATCCGGTTATCGGTAATTGCGAAACGTATGGGACTATCTTCTCGTTCAGATGACGGAAACGTTGACGTGTCAGATCCAGAAATATGCACGTTATGAAGATACAGTATGTGCCAGTGATATTCTGAACTAATTCCTCCGACATGGCTGCTATTACCTCCATCAATCCTTCCGATACAGCATCGCTGATGGATAAATATCCCTTCCAAGTTAGTGTAACGAGCGTGTAGATAAAGAACAAATATGCGAATACGTGATTGTCCTTTCTTTGATGCCCTAATGCTATCGCCTTCTCGTCGTATGTTAGAAATTTGTCGGACAACTACAGTGCACAGAACGTGATACAATAAATTATGATTTGAATCCGCATATCATTTATCATCAATTACACATTATTTTATACAGAATGTCTCAATATTATTTATTATAAATCATAATTCCTCTTTAATTATCTTAAAAAATACGTTTATCTTTATTATAATAGATTTTTTACATTTTGGCAATATACGAAATTGAAGACGCATTTACCTTAACAAGATCTTTGCTCCAAAAGGCTGCCACGGCATAATAAGGAAGTAGTGAGACAAAAAACGCAGTAAATCGGAAGATACTAAGTGCGTAGTCCTTAAGTTTTTTTGTAGGCGACATGACCATCCTATAATAATAATTACCCGTGTATAAGCAATGATACAAGCCCCATATCACACAGAAACGACAGCTCCAGGTACTGCTTGGTCTCAATCGTCCGTTCACCAATTTGCACGAAAGTAAACCTAATACTTTGTTGATTATTATTACAACTTTTAGATTTCGGAAAGGCATTTTTTTGTGTTGATATTGATTTTATCACGATAAGAAAGAAAGTTCTACTCCTGGCAAAGTAACTGCTTTTGATGATTATTTTTAACAGGCGAAATAATATATATATATATATATATATATATATATATATCTTAGACATCATAGACGTCTATGATAATAATAATCTTTATTATGTCTATGATTAAAGATATTATCAAATATAAATTATATTAAGCGAAGTTAGCCGATATTTTGTGTAACGACTGAATCCTCGCAATCGACTGAATTCTGTATAGATATTGTGTATCGACTTTGATTTTTAATCTTTTTTACAGTCTCCCGTCAAATGACATTTTGCCGTTACGCCATACATATTTTCCGATGTAACCAGTTTGATAGAAAACGGAGATTAGAATTGTGACAAAGCACTGACACAATCGTGTTAACGACGATCGTCGAATCACGCGTATATGTGTATAACGATGCATATCCATTTGCGACACGTCAAACTAATAAAAAATGACAATTGTCTACCCAAAGACACGTGTCGCGTGTTACGGCTTCTGTTCCACACATCAAATCACGCGATGCTCGTGTCGGCGTCAGTAAAGTCGATAAAGAATCGTGATTTTGATTACATGAACATGCATTAAGCTTATTCGGAATCTATGTCAACGAGATATTATCAACTTGTTATTACATTGCAGACTAATGATTAGACATGTTGTACATATATTTCTCATTTTTTATTTTTACTTTTCATTGTAATTTATTGGAAGATATTGTTTGCATTTTAATATTGTAAATTTTATAATTGCAACATTCTTTTGGCTCTCTTTATTGTTATATTATTTCGTCCTCGAAGACTGGCTTTAATATAAGTATTTTAATAACTTTGTATAAAAATAAATTTTTGCTCCCCTTCTAACTGAAATTTTGAGTACGTATATGTATTGTTATATTTTATTGTAATGGATTTGTTAAATTTTAAAATTATAAAATTAATCTTTGTTTTATTTTTAGTATAAATATAATATCTTTCTTTAATTTTTACATTTACTTAATAATACGTTTGACTTTAGATATTTATTAACATTAGTTATTTCAATTATTTGATTGCTGAGAAAGGCTAACAATAAGTAAGTCCCGTCTTTTTCAATATTCTTGGTAAAATAAATTATTTTAAAATGTACACCTTTATTTTATTCGTTTATTAAACTTATTATTTCTATATTATGTTACACATTTGTCTATATGCCTATATGCATATTGTCTATATTGTGTCGACATGCGATAACTTTATTACAATTATGTTTATTTAAAAATATGCAGATATATACAATACGCAAGTATTTTAATAAAAAAGATTATACCAGTATTATAAAAGAAGTAGTTATTGCCGCAAAAATCTGAAAATAATCCAATATAAAAAAAATTTAGTAGTAAAAATACATTAAATATTCCTTTTATGAAATTATCTCCAACCTCCATAGATTATATTAATTTTAAATTAATTTATTTTTTAAATAAAAGTTTAGTAATATATTTTACATGTATAATAATTAATTAATTATTCAAATTAAATAATTCACCTATTTTAAAATAAAAAATTATAAAAATACTTACAGAATGAAATAGAGGTAAGTCAATTATAAAAAATCTTGCCGCATCGAAAGACACGCATTTGTGTAAGAAATACGTTAAGATGGCAATTTTAGTCTAAAACGTGAAAATAAAGTTATATACGAACAATTTTTTATTTTAAGATAATGACATTGATCATTGATTAGATGATTAGATAATTACCGGCGTATTTCCTGAATTAATAAGCTTGGTCATACCATCGCTTAAGACACACGCAATGTTATTTGCCTGAAATATTCGGCTATTTATATTATAACAATTATTATACTTATAAATGTAAGTAAAAATAAGCTAACATTCTCTAAAAACAAAATGAATTTTATAGACAAAAGAATTTGAAGTCATACCTCTTCCGCTGTATAATGACAAATTGTGCATATAAATAGTATTAGCATTATCGGGGGACTGACAAAAGAGCTGCCAATCAACAGCCCTTCTTCTCGGAAGATACTGAAGTTCGCAACAATGCGCAACAAGAGAGATATAAACGATAGCATTAGAGGATTTCTGTAAATATCATTGAAGGCTTCGATAGCATCGTAAAGCATCGAGTGCATAATTCGTACGTCCGATATCGTTATTGAGTTTCGTTCGCGTCGCTCTTCGTTCCACAACACATTCGGCGCGATCTTCTTGTTTAGATGTTTGAAGCGTACCAGTACAAGATACAACAGGAGAAACTTTTCCAGAAAACTACATATATGTATGATTATCGTGTAAGCATCTGATATCGATGAGATGAACGCATCACCCTTCATCTTCGTGTACATTATCGTGATTGTAAGTAACAGACTGATAACGGCCATAAAAACCGTAATAATCCAGGGTATCCATAAATTATCTCTCCTTTTGTTTTTTATTCGTGCGGCTTCGTGATCGTAACCATCCAGTCGATCAAAAAACTGTGGGAAAAGTATATATTAGAGAGAGAGAAAGAGATAATTATTTGAATTTTGTGATGGAAACTCATTATCGCCTTTATCGTTCCTCACCTTGATGAAGTGATTTTGCGAAGAGTAAGCATTAATGACATTGGCACAGAGACTTATGTATCCCAAAAAATGTTTCACGAAATGTACCGCTATTTTCGTTTGAATATTACTTTTCACAAAAAAACTAAACATCAAGGACATATACGAGACAAAAAAGCCTATCCAAAAAACAGAAATACCGTAAACGGGCCAGGAGCAGCACCTCAATCGACCGGCCGTGATATCATTGGCAAACAATCCGCAGAATTTGAACAATAATAGAAATGGCTTTATCCGTTCCGCGCAGGTTTTATCAAAGCACTGTTTCGGCACGCGTCGTTTTAACACGTATTTCTCTAATACGCGCATGTCTTCACAAACAAAAATTTCATTTTTCACGCATATTTTTGGTCACGTATTTGACTCTTCATTAAACTAAGAAAATATTATGTTTCAGGCGTTAAATATACCGCTCGAGAAAAGAAAGGGTTGCCGCGACCAAACGCACTTGTAAACCGTCACGCGGTTCGCGGAAAACTATCTATGTTCATTCTCACCCTCATATGCTGATAGCTCTTACATCGCACTCCTAACGATAATTTTTTCACTTATTGTTAGATAATAAATTAGATGAAGATAAAGACATTTACAAATTATTTGTATTGTAATTGCGTCCGTGCACTATTATTATACAAATCAGGATTAATACAGTAAGAAATAACGTAATAAACTTGTCTTCAAGTCAAATCGATTTGGTAAAATCGATTTTTATAAAATTATAGTTTTAAATAAATTTATTTACAAATTATTTACAAATTTTTACAACATAAATTTTCACTTAATTACAATATAAAATAATAGAGTTTTAATAATAGAATTTTCTTATACGAACAAACATGTACATGTACATATAAACACGTTTTTCGTGTTTCACTTCAAGCTCGCGGTTTTATTGAATTTTGAATTCTTAAATTGAAAATATATTTTGTTTGTATAAGAAAATTCTATAAGTTTAAGTAATATAATGTAATAAATTAAAAAGAAATACTAATATAAAATTGCATTTGATAAGATTTATACTTTTAGGCTTCCATCAAGAAATATCCAAAAAAACTTTATCATTATATTTTGAACGCATAGCACAAAATAGAACCAAATAATATATATGTCACTGAACAAAGTCAAAGAATGTGTTACTAAAAATATCTGTAATCTGAGAGAGGACATAATTTTCGAATATGAATTTTTCGAGAATAAAGCCCCAGTAATTTCGAAAGGTGGATGTAGCATGCACACGCACCACAAATTGTATACCCGCGGTGCAGAAAAGTGAATGTTGCTATGTAGTTTACATCCACTTTTTCAAAAGGCGTTAGTGCACAAAGGCATTTTGAGATAACAGGTAAAAGGCCTTCACGTCCTTTCTTAGATTTCTCTCTGATAGTACTAAAATATGTATGTACCTACCTCGTGGACAATGAGGTTGCAACACTCTTTTTTTAGTGCAAGTTTTATGAACGCGTAGTTTTTAACGTTCTAATAATGTTTTTCAGACAATATTAATAAATTAAATAAATATAATAGATATAATTTGATGTTTGTATTAACATTTGGTACAGTACCATTTTAATTATATATGTATATATAACATATTTGTGAGTTTACGCATTTGTAAATTCACTGAAAAAAAGTGTCGCAACCTCATTGTCCACGACTGTATATTACGTAACAATAATACGTATAAACAAGCAAATTTCTTCTCTAACTGCATTCGGCAAAGTCGGTAAATTACCATTCACATGAACATGCTATTTTATATCGACTACCGAGATGCTTGAGCCTTGCTAACACTTTTTCAGATTGGAAGGTTACTACCAGTTGACGTTGTCGAGTGAAAGGCGCCTGAAATTGACAATACACCATACATTGAGAATTATTTACATATAATTGATTATTATCAATAAACAGCTTTAATTATTAAAGAATATTGTGTGTATTAAGTATCAAACTTTATATGTATGTATATACTTAGAAATTTCATTATTTGTAAATATTTGTCGACTAGAGCAATTATTATATAGTTTTCTGTTTTGCAAAAAATTTACTTTAATAAAAATCACGAAACTATATTTTTATATATTTTTTATAAACATTAAAAATTATTGCACATTATTAATTTCTACATATCATTAATTTCTATACATACCTAAATTTACCAAGGAAATATTTTGCGAATTTAATTTGGAATAGAAAAGATGTAGAAAAAATTTATCTCAATTTGATAAGTATTCTTTTATCATAAACATTACATACATCTTGCATTATTGACACGGGAGCAAATTACGCAAATTAGCTTCGACAAAAGTTATATTCTGGGCAGAATAAATAAAAAATTCTGCACCTCTCTCTCTCTTCCTTTTTACAATCTCTTGCGGCGAAGCGTTTAAATGTAAGATTCGAAAATCTTGTCCCCGGATGAGTGGTTGTTCGGGGGCAGTCGATACATTCTTATTTCCATACAAAGCCTTTCAATTTCCCTACTGAGCCTTTGATATTTTGCAGGACGAGGGTCCCTTTGCCCGCACCGCGACTTCGATCCCTCCCTTCGTTTCCATTGATCCTGGCCCAGCTTTCCTTTTCGCGCGGGGAAATTATGTAAACTACCACAATATAAATATGTACGTGTGCATATGTATATGTCTGGATATCGAAAATTCACTGCAGAGAATCAGGCTTGCGATCGCGGACATTGACGTGAACATTCTGTAAATCTACAAGATGTCTATAGCAGGGGCCGCGGATATCTTATTAATTAATTGCGTCGACGTTGTGTGTACACGACAACGGAGCTATACGGAAATTCTTTTCTCTCTATCTTAATATAAAGATTCTGGCACAAAGTGTTAACTCGTGCGGAGAATACGACGCGGACGCGTAGCGCGGTCCGACTGCGCGCCGGTGAATTTAAAGCAGAGATTCGCCTCGATAACGACCGAAAGGACCCTCTCGGATGTGAAATTTCTTTCTCGCGGCCGCGATATCTCTTTTGGGGAGAGCCACAGCGGCATGAAGGCACAATGATCTCCTTCAGATTGTCAAACGCTGTCGTTTAGTCGCGGGCACTTTGCAATGATATATCGTTCGTCTCACGAAGAGGTAGCCGCAGTCCGGGCATTGTGCCACTTTTGCGAGAACATGATCGGCAGCGTGTGGTTCGACACGCATTAGATAATTCGTTCCGCGGATACTCCTTACTTTCTTGCCGGAGAACCCTTTTCTATAAAATTCGCCATCGAAAGAGCGGCACTAAGTTCCGATTCTTAGATACAGACGTTACGAGTTGCCATTATGTCCGAGGCGCGACCTATTATGACAATTTCTTTGTAACGTAAGATTTTTATAATATGCATGAAAACTGAATCTTTCAGCACCTCCTGAAAAATGTGCTAGGTACCAAATAAGACTTCAAGTTTTCTAATATTGTCGATTATTTGTGTAAAAAGTAGATACTTGTGTTTAAATTTAATAATAAATGATGACGTTAATAAAGGATATAATAAAGAGCTATGCAGTTCGGAGAAAGAAATAAACAATCTTCTATCTTTCTAGCTTTGCAAAGAAATTAAAAACTCTATTATATTCTAATAGTGAGAATAGTTTGAAGAACACAAATGATAAAAATAAAATTTGTATGACAAAGAAATTGTATGACAATTTCTTTGTAATTCAAGGTTTTTAAAAGATGCATGAAAATTGAATCTTTCAATACCTTCTGAAAAATGTGCTTAGGTAATATCAAATAAGATTTATAATATTTTGTCAATTATTCGCGTAAACAGTATACTTGTGTTTAAATTTAATAATAAAACGCTAATGTAATTCAGGATCTAACGAAGGATTATGGAGTTCGGAGAAAGAAATAAACAGTCTTCTATGTATCTTTATATATATTATTGCAAAATTAAAAACTCTTACATAGGTATTATGTTTTAACTGTTGAGAGAGAAAGAGAGAGAGAGAGAGACAGAGAGAGAGAGAGAGAGAGAGAGAGAATCAAATGATAAAAATAAATTTTATTTAGTCCTGCGCTTGTCCTAATTAACGTTTATTCATTATAACAAAGTAGTACTCTCTCCGTGAGAATTTACAATTTTTAATCTTTTCCAGTAAATAATATCAATAAAACAAGTAAAAATGACACTGCAAAAAACACAATTCGAACATGTATTGATAATGATCTTTGGCGCGACTGTCAAGCTCGACGTGTGGTGCCCATTCGGCGTGTCGTACGGTTTTTACGAATTCTAACTGATTTCTGTTGTTGTCGACACAACAGCGATAATGGATCCCGGGACACCACTGCGCGGACTGCGAACGAACGGTCCAGCAGGAAGATTAATCGTGAGCGATGCAAATGACGAGGTGGAGAGTCGTCTCTGTCGTGCCTGAATGAAAGCCCATTACGAGCATCTTCGAGGAAGCCCCCTTCGATTTGCGCGAAGAAGGGCGCGGAGGACGGCCGGAGGACCGAACGGAGTGACATTGTGTCAGTGAAAGTTGGGTGAAGTGACACTCGAGATAAATGTCCTGCCGGTGTTACACACCGAGAGAATCTCCGAGACTCCCCCGGCCGACCCTCGTCTCTCCACGTGCTACTCCATTCCGTGCATCGTCCACGCGGGGTCTCCTCTGCTCACGTTCGTCCATAATCGCCGACGATGTTTTCGATAATTGCTAGATATTCTGTATTGAGAGTTGGAGGCGCGCGTGCGCGCGCAATAATAATTTTCTCTTTTACT